ACATACGATATAAACTTGGTAAAAGTAAAAGTGAAGAAAGTTATATGGTAATCGTTGCACAATAATATGACAAGCCTTTTCAAACGATAATGAATAAATGTTGAAAAAAATTAGAAAATATAAGATAGAAAGAATTGATCACTTACGCGCCCATTATAATGAATCTTTATTTCCACTGTAGATAATAATTTTTTAGCCTTTACTTTTGCCTTATATTTGTATATTTGTCCTTCTAACTGCGTTTTATATTAGTATATAAAATATTAATTCTTAAATGGCACACGTGGATCATTCATGCCCGTATATCGTCACTTCAAATCTTTCAATCTTTCTTTTTTGGAAAAAAAAACTTTTTAATGATATAAATGACTTTTTTTTAGTGGAAAAACAGCAAAATTTAAGTTACTCTCCAAGCATATTGAAGGGGCAAATTGCGAACACGTGTGACCCATATATGCTATTAGAAGCTTTTTGACAGAATAAACATTTCCTTTTCGCTAAATTCTTGCTTATTATGCATATTTGTAAGTATATTTGTCAATTTGAATGTTGAAGATTTGTTCCTGTGTCTATGACGATAGATAATGATGAGACTCTGACATAAAACGTCTATGACATAAAAAATATTGTTTTATTTTACTATCAATTTTCATTATTTCATTACTCATCTTTTTTATAAATTTTTGTTTTAATAATAAAATAAAAATTAATTTTTTCTGTATTTTCTGAACCTTTTAATAGTTTTAATTATATCAAAACTGACTCAGACATGAAGTATTTATCATGTATCTAGAGTCCTTTGCATTTGCACGAGATGATAGAAAAGTATATCTTCATATATATTGGATACAAGAATGAAGAGCTGTCGTTTCACTGCCCTTTCCAATATATGCGAATATCTAAGCGCTTGCCAAGTCTACACGAAATAATAATGTCAGTAATATATCGACATTTTAATTTCTGTTTAGACGAGGGTGCTTTCACGTCGAGAAATTTGGTCGTCGCTTCAGAATTCTCTTAATACATGGATATATTAGATAACACATTTATTGTGTGTTTGAATGTCATAAAAAAATATTTAGTGCATAATTAGCGAAAGAATTTTTTCATATTCATTCTTAGTATTTAAATGCATTATTTTCTCCACTTGATGAATACTTCAATGAAGTTTTGTATAATCATATAATTGTTATTGCACATGTAATGTAAACTGTAAGCTCGAAAGAATTAATTAAAAATCTGTTCGAGATATCTTTTTTGAATATACCTAAATTTGTATAGACTTGCTTTTCTTTTTTCCTTTTCCTTTGTAAAATATTACAGTATCTTTCGGGGAGAAATTTAAGAAACCAAGTGAATTTATTAATATTTCTGTTAAGTTAACCAATTAACTGCATAACAATCAATCGTCGAAACCAAGTGGTTTCTCTCACAAAAAGGGCACTCGAACTTTCCTATTCTTTCACAGTTTTAGCCAGCATAAAATAAAAAGACACACAATTTCTCTCAAAACTGATATTTTCTCTTAATGCTAACGCTGTAAGTATGTACGTGTATATATGTATATTATTATTACAACACTATTTATTACACAAGATGCGAATACAAGATTGTTTCGGCAGATCTAACGAGTATTGATCGAGTCTACAAAAAGTTTCGGGATTGGATCGTTACGTATTCGTTTTCTATCCTGACAACATGTGAATAGATACGGGAGCGATAATAATTATAGCAATATATATAATAACAATAGTAATAAAATAATATTATAATAAACGCTCTCTCGTCGCTACCCGATTTTCTACATACATGTACATAAGATTTTCGGATACAAGTGTGAATAAAACCTGCGCAAAATAATTCACAAAGAGACTTCGCTGACGAAAGTCGCGGTGCTCCAAAAGGCGGAGAAACAAGAAAAGAACTATCAATCATAAATACACAGAAGCTATACTCTCATCTCATTTATACATTGTAATATTTATTTCTCTCACGTATCATCTTTTCGATATCTATTATTACGTCGTTGAAAAATTTGGCATGCAAATTGTGGCGAGATTTTTAATGGGAGCTATTGCTAGACTCTCGAATATTAGGCGAGTAAATAGAACCTTATATACCTTACGAATGCAGACAGGTAGTTGGACCTTGCAAATTTTACGATCATCCTTCCCGTTGAACGGGAGGGGAGGATTTCTCAAGTGGCGCGCGTGTTCTTAAAACTTGAAGATTTACGTCTCTTAGCAATAAATTTTCAGTGGCCACAAAGTTATCTCGTAAAATACTCTTAAATCGTATGTATAGATCTATGTACAATTTCATAAAATAATATTAATTTAATATATAGATTTCGTTTTATATTATATAATATTGCATAATCGTTGTGTACGCGTGTACGTGTGGCGCGTGTTTCTTGTTGTGTACGTGTTACAATATATTATTTAGTCGCTTAAATATCTCGTTTGATTATTATTCATGATGTGTATTCGTATGTTTGATATGAGAGGGTCAATCCCATATATATTAATATTTTTTTTTTTTTGACGAGTAAGAGTGAATGTTGGCACAGACAGTGGCTGGGTTAAGGCACTTTGGGGTGATTGATTCTCTCCGCAGTACCTCCAGCATAACTATCTTATCGAATTCTCCCCGCTCCCTCCCCCGCTTATCCCTCCTGCAACCCGTCGCCTGCTCTTTCTCTTCTTCGTTTACGTTTACCTACATACACGTCGTGCGTAATATTATCTCGCATGACCGCACGGCTCTTATCTCCCACTTAATTACGCGACTCTTTAACTACTTTAAAGTAAAATACGCTGTCTCTGATGAGCATTGGAGTGTAAATGGCGAACTGAGTTCAGCTCTCACAGCGGTTTCGTGAAGTTCGCCGGGAACATACCCTTCTCAGTGGTGCCTTCCTTGATACCCATTAACCAGCCTTCTTCCTGTAACGAGCAATGAACATCGTAAAAAGAAATGTCGGACGTGTTAACGCGTTAGATAATAGATATTGTAATAGATGTTGTCGAGTCTTATTTATGTTCGGAGGCTTACGGACCTGCTCCTCGGGATCGTCGTACTCCACGACGCGAATAATCTCGCCGACGTCGAACGACAATTCGTCCACATCCTCGCGACTATACTTGTAAGTGGCTTTAACCCTGTATAAAACGCCCGGCGGCAGATTGTCGGTTGTCGCCCCTATAGAGAAATTAGCAGCATTTTCATATTCCGCTTCTAGAACGATCGAGTCCGCCCCGTTAGTCATGGACCTGTCTGTGATTTCGTCCGCATGGAGATTTTGATGTGTACCAATTATGTGTAAAGTTTCGCTTTATTCGTCTAACTGCATAATTAACGTTTCATTTTCGCAACTAGGTCAGATTAACTACGACCTTGTTTTTGGCAAGACCATGCACAAAGGGGCAGGCAGCGTACTACTATTGTAATTAACAATCACCCGATACTGTAAATTCAGTAACATTCGGTTTAATTGTTACGTTACATACGCGCAAATTTACTTGGAATCTATTGAGCTCAATTTTACGAAAACAAACCAATCGATTATCGTTTATTTGTTTTTGTAAAATTACGTTTCAATTATTCTTTTATTTCGTTTTTAACCAGGATCTCTGTTATTTAATTATGCAGATATTTTTAATAATACAATATAATTAAATTAAAATATCGTCTTTAAATTATTAAAGACAAAAATTTGAACATGAAGTACCACTTAATTAAGATCATTTCATATATGCGATTTCAGTTGAAATCGCTAAGATCGGATAATGTCAGGAAACAAGCACATTAAAGAACACGGCAAAGTTTAAATTAAACGGCAAGCGGCTTACCGACTGGAATATCGTACAGCTCCTCGACTCGTTTGGAAGGCGCGACTGTGTTCTGCGGCGACGCATCTTGATTATTGAGAGAATTATCATTGCTGTTAGCGTTGCTATTAGCGTTGCTGTTAGCGTTGCCATTTATCTGGGTGGTCGGCGATGTATCTCTAGGCGCAGCGGGCGTGGTATCGTCCAAAGCTGAAACACGCGAGAGAAAGCACACTCAAAACTGAATGCCGAGCCACAATACGGCCTTCCGGAACTTAAAGCCTTTCGGAACGTTTCGCATTTTGTTCTTCGCGTAACAAGGACATTACAGGCATGCGAGTATTAGCGTCACATATATATATAATTAGTGCACACACGCACAAATCCAACATGAACAAAAATACAGCATAATAATTACCTCCTGAGATATTGTTCTGCGCTGGCTGTGTATTAATTATTAGGCTGAAATATAAATCAGAGTTATTAGTATTATATAACTACTACAGCTCTTGGTTTTACACTTTGTATAATTATTATTCTATCATATCATATTTTATATAACAACCGCTTCAATATCTCGTTTTATGCGATAGCAAAATTACGTTTATTTTTTGAAATTACTGTCTTTATGTAACTCCTATTTGCGTTACTTATTAATTTCGATTTTACAGAATCGATTTACTTACGACGAGTTCGCGTTAGGCGACTTCGGTGATTGCGGTTCCGTGCTTTTCTTCAGTGTGTAAGATCCTCGCTGACTTTCATTAGCCAATTTATCGACGATCGCTTCTAATTCGGAATATACCTGGGAACATGAATATTAATAAAAAAAGATATAACAGCTATATACATATTATTATACTATAGAATTTTTTCTATTTCTTTCTTCATTGGAATGTATGTAAAAATTAAAAGATTTAATATGGAATTCTGTGAATTTTTTAATTTTTATATAATTTCAATGAAAAAAGCCAAATAAAATTCATGTTAAAGTCTGCTCGAAATCAATTAGAATACAAAATTCTACTTGTTTAAAAATGCTTGAAAGAAATATTTTTAAAGGGACTCATCTCCGTTACTGATCTTTAATATTTTAGATACCTTGGCACTTTCAGTGTGAAACACTTGTTCCGCGGCAAAGAGCGTTTGCAGATTTGTGACGAGGAAAAGAACGCGCGAGTCGTATAATGCCGGTAGTTCGTCGTGCAGCTCTGAATTTAGTTGCTCATATGTACGTTTTGCTTCCTCCAGCAGCTCCTTCCCCCGCGATACTTTAAGCTCGTCCCTCTTCTTTGGATTACACTGCAACGATTGGAAGTTGTGTCTCTGACTGTCATAATCCACCAATTTACGCCCACGCTTGTCGACCTTTTTCTGGAAAATCGATAAAATCCTCGAAATATAGCAGTTATACATATTTTATTACTAATTTCTTCCTAAATTAGTACTTATCAATTCTGCGATTCCGTCGTAAATATCGTACAAAATACCAAGAAAAATTCCTAATTTGTTTTTAATCTTTATTGTCATTTTGATAATTTTGAAATAACAAAATATTATTTTTTTTATGCCAGTGATCATCAAAACAGGAACGTCGTGATTTGGGAAAAAAAAGTGTACAAGAAGAATGAAATAAAGATTAATTAATTTATACTCTAATCTAGTTGCGATTAATAAAGTTTTACTTTTTATGACAAATTGCGAGAAAAGAGTATTATTGATATAATGAAGAAACCTGGTTGCAACCAGTCGAGGGTTGCACGAAACGTACCCTCATCTCCGGGAATTGGCTTTGATATGTGTTGAGCGGTACAAGAACCTGGTCCGCGAGCTTGTGAGTGAAATCTTGCCACAGCATGTCGAGATTTTGTGCCTGTACGTACAACAGATCGTGCCCGGTCCACTGGCTCTCGTAGATCTCATTCAACGAGTCCATGAGCGTCTTCGACGCGGCCTGCACCGCTGAAAAAACGAAACGTCGATTCGCCATCGTTTACCTCGTCTACTTTTCATTGGCATTTTAATTGTCATTTGGAAAATTACTGCTAATGGAAAAACGCGCTTAGAGGAAGAAGATTTATCCTCTCAAGTCGAAGACACCGCGTAACGCGGTCGTCGGGAGAGACGGACAAGTTGTTTCGTAAGACGTGGAGAGAAACTTTTTTTCACGCCGATTTTCCATCACGGCGACACGTGTCTTTTTGCTTCAGGAATAAACGCGCGACGCGGGTGACTACTTTCCTGACCTACATCTAAACCTCTCCTAGTGCATTCACCTACAGCGATAAGCCGATTGCTTACAAATTCCTCACTCCGGCTCGCGTAAAAGTTGCAGAGTGGCTTTATCGCTCGCGTTGAATTTCGCGATGTTCGGAATGCCTCGAACTGCAAGAAGAGAGACAAGACGACACATAATCGTCTACATAAATCGACATAACATTTAATTTATATATTGTGACATTGTAATAAAATTTTTCAAATATTTTTTTTAATTATGCATTTTTTATTTGCGCTTAATGTATTTTAATTAAACTCATCAGAAATGTGTTATATTTAAAATCCAAATGATATAAATAAAATAATATAAAATGCTTTACCATAAAAAATACCAATCTCCAGTGACTCGACGAATTCATGTGAAATAATTATAGGCGTTTCTAACAGACCCACTCTATAAAATAGTTACTTAATATTAGTCTATCAGCAGAAATAATTACAAGCAGTGCTCATGGCTACATTATAAATTAATTTTAATAAGCGCCAATTTTAATAGGCGCCACTGAAGGCAGTCAACATCGTTCATAGCGCTAACATACTCAACTAATTAATTCGTCGTTAATGCAAATTACGTAAGCGGGTAAGCAGGTTGCCATAATTCTCAGTATGATCGCTTTTTACTCGGTTCAACGAGAGTGGCGCGCGCCGGCGTCCTCATTAGTTTCTTTTTTCTCATCTGGAACTTGGACTTGGAGGTAGAGCGGCGATGGAAATCGCGAAAATTGTGCGATGAGTCGTCGACGATCGGATTTGCAACGCAAATATGACGGACATGCTTTCGTCGTATTTCGCTGCCGCGCTATCCTCGTTTTACGGTTTCGTCGCATGTTACGTTCCTACCGACACGGTTTCGCATGCGGGTATTTATGCGTGAACGACGCTGGCTGCGTCCCGTCCGCCGAGTGATAAAAGGAAAGCTAAGAGACGCTAACGCGAGTCCTGCGCACTCCGAGATTAACACGTACCTCTCCCAAGGAAGTCGTCCGCGACCGCGTCGGCGACGTTTGCCTAACGGGAAACGGCGGCGTCCCCGAATTCGTCGTGCCTATATCCTATATTTCTTTTCCGCACGTTTTTGTCGATTTTTGGCCGCGGGTCTCCAGCAAAAATTAAAATTCGTGGTCAGCGGTATACGTCGAAACGTACCGATATCCCTGAAAGGCCAGAGGCTATAAAAAGCACGCGAATAACGAACAATGTCGCTGCGTAGACCAGCCAAGCGTGGAAAAGTTGTTTGCGACTAGCAACGATTCGAGTGGGAGGGATTAAAGATCGGATGACGTTTTTCTATTGATTTCGCGTGTGTTTGCCAGTCCTCGTGTCAAGACTCGCCATCAAGGTGAGAGAGACAATATAAGAAGCGCGACGTCGGGTCTCCAGCTTCTAAAACGCGTAATTCCACTCGCGTGAAGCTGAAGCAGATAGAAACCTCGTAGAGACCTGAAGACTTTATCGTTGCATCGAACGTCAGTGCCAACCGCTTTATAAATTGATAATAATTTTAATTAGTAATTTTTAGTAATAATCTAAAATTGATAATAAATTTATGCTATGAACCACAATGCGCTTCTACAACAACGCAATATGTACATTATACATTGCGCGATTGTTAATCGTAATTACGCCATAATTTTTTCACACATTATAAATCACAAACAAATTATTATTTATTTATTATATTATTATTTATGAAACAAAATGCGGAGCAAGAATTAACTTTAAAATTCGGATGATATACGAAGTTAAGTAAATAATAATATTTATTTAACTTTATCCGCGTTTACTGGAAAAGCCAGATAAATTGTCTTTATTAATTTTCGACTGCATCTTATCGATCGCGACAGCGGACGGCATTGCACGTCGCCGCGGGGGGCTACGCTACTACTGTCTTATCTGAAATATTTAACAATCGCGACAAGGCCGTGTCGCTTAATATTTCGGGCACGCCGCCGCGCTGCTGGAACGGCGCGAAAGATTGCGGCGCATTACGCGGGGAGTAATTCCTTCCTGCCGACTTCTCTCCCAAAGGTCATTTCGTATATGTGTCTATGTACCTCTGCGATGCATTACCGAATATACACGGCGATTAAAATATTACGTCGGTTTCTCTCGACAGTAATTGATGCCGACGAGCCGTGCGCGGGTACCGCTGGTGGTCGTTATTCAACGTCTGTGAGTTATTCATCTGTCCGTCATTCATCCGCGAGACGATATACGCGAATGGGAGTGTCTGATGGACGGCGAAAATCATTTTCCCCGATCGTCGATGACAGCCTTCGTTAAGTTAATCAACTCGGCGCGCACGACAGAGGTTTCCAATAAGTCTTTTCGGCACTTATTAGATGAAAGAATTACATTCAGTTACGTAACTTTACTTAAAACTCAAAATAATTTGTAGACATTCTTTTTATCCCTGTATGACGCAAAACTTTTGTTATCAGTGTATTTATTTTGCTGATGTCAGCATCTATATATTGTCTATATCTATATATCAATAATTATTATATCGTAACGCATAGAGGAAAAAAAGAGGGGAGAAGACGCGCTGAGGAATATAAATTCTGAGCTAAGTAACGATAGACGCATTTATCTTAATCTGCAAAAAAGAGAGGACAGAGTACAAAGTTACGGAACAAGTAATTCAGCCTCCACGTGAGCTTGGCAACCGGGTCACGGCGATGCAAGGTTGCGTGAATATCTTTTTCCTTTTTAATACATGTTGCGTTTCGCACGGGTTTGTTAATTCGACGCCGATCTTATAAATACAAAGAATTTTACGTACTACTTACGTCACATAGATGTATACGACAGAAAAAAAAGAATTCTTGAGAATTTATGAAATGATAAGTATTTAAATCAATGTTTGAAGAAACTAATATATTTTCATGCGCTTTCTATAAAATTTATATATCGAAAAAACGTAACTGATTAAAGAATTGAAAAAGAAATGTCACAATTTTCAAACACTGTATGAATTATAGAAATTATATTCAAGATATTAATAGCTCTAGCAAGGCTCGCCAGCGTGAGTAGCTATTCTCTGACGAATCGTCGCTTCTGCTGTGCAGTTTGTAATTATGTAATATAAAATTTTACATCTGTCAATTGTCATGAATACGTTGTTAAATAAGCGCTTACGTAAAATTCTAATGCCTAATCAATATCCGACATATGTTCTAGACGCTGAATAGATAATTAAACGCCTAATCATTCGAAAGTTAAGATGCTCAACCGCGATGACGCATGCCACCGTAATTATTGCTATACATTCGAAACTCCATATAAAGAATCTCTTTATAGCGAATCGTTAAAATCTGTGTGTACACTTAAACATTCGATTATCGATAATATTGCGTTTTCCCTCTGCACTATACGTGTAAAACATGAGAAACATTAGCGCGCCTAATAAATAGCAACTGCCGTTTAAAGGGAAGACGAGTTAGTTTCGCTCAGCGGGACAACTTACCTCGAACACACCTGATGTAATTGTTGAACTCCTTTTGCAGTCTGTTAGCGGAGTTCTGCTGCCTCGTGAAGTTCTGCAGGTGCTCGTCGAATATATCGTCCGCGGTTCGATCGACCTTGCCCAGATTCTGAAGAAACTGCAACGAGAAAAAAATGCGTCTTCAATTTTTAATTCGCCTTTATATATTAATCAGCCTTTTATATGTTAATCGCCTTTATATTTTGGCTGCATTCCGATATTTAGTGTCAGCAACAGTCAGTACTGAAAATTTATAGTATACGCGACGTAAAATATAGAAAAATAGATTTTCAGTATACTGACAGTGAATATCGAAATGCAGCCATTATCAACATGATCTGCGGATATCGATCTGAAGTGAAATTAATACGATAATTAATAAAAATTGTAATATACAATAGCAATAATAATACGGAATATCTTTATATATGCGCTATATAATGAATATGATGTAATTTATGTAAAAGATTGAAAGAAACATATAAAAGAGCGAAAACTTATAATGCTTCTATGAATAAATAACGGAATAAGTCGATAAAACATGCTCATAATGTATTGAATCACCGTACATTCATGTAGGTAATCGGAAAACTTTCTGACGGAGTTGAATGAAACTCGAGGACGTGTGTGTCATTTTTTGCGTGGGTCTCTTCCCACAAATGTTAGCCTTGCGTAGGTGTAAAGTATTTCCATATAAGATGCTCAATATATAATGCTCAATTTTTCTTCCTCAGACTTGTCAGTCTGATCGAAATTCGACTATTGAAAACAATTTCGGAAACGTGATTTTTTTAAATGTCTCGTCTTTTTTTATCTTGAATATATTTATTTCTATTTATTCATTTACTGTTATCACTCGTGAATGGAGCCTATTTGACAAAATTGCAATTAAATAGTTACAATTTTGTCAAAGACTCAAATATTAATATAATCTTATTAATATAATTTTTCTCGCAATTGCAGTGGTTTAAATATGTGTAAACAAAGCCATAAGTTATATAAGATCCAAGTTTCAGCATTAAATATTTCAAGAATCTTCAAGCTTTCGTTAAAATAGTTCTTGCTTCTAACTGAGAAACTATTTATGTGTCATATTTCTGTTAAAAAGAAAATTTGGCGTAAGGCAAAAGAAATCTTCATATTTGTAAACTTCACGGAATGAAGTATAGCAAATGTGACATTTCTCATGGTTGACTACAAATGCGGGTAAACGCATGGCTATCGCAAATGAGGCCTTTGAACCGTGCTCGTCACGAAACGATAAACACCGCCTGCATTATCATCGAATCGTGTGAAAGATCTTTGATAATCGCGCCTGTTATTTAAACTTTAATTAACATTATCTCACGGACGTTCCGTGCATTAATACAAAAGCGTCAAAGTTAAAGAACATCAGTGTAAGTAGTTCACGCCTATTCCAAGTGTCAAAACATTTCCTATATTTCATGAATTTATTTACGAGATGCACGATAACAGACCCTGCTAAACCTTATCGGTTCATAAAATAAAAAAGTGCTAATGGATACCGATAAAAATAATAATAAACGGCTAATTAATTTTGTCGAATGCGTGAAAGTGATTTATATTCGCGTTATTTCCTCAACCTCTCCTGCCAAGTTAATAAAGAAATCTATCGGAGCCTCCGTACTCCACTGCCATTGTTATCGGCAATAAGGCGCGACGTGAAAGGATGCGGATGATGTAACAATAGCTATCGACCGCGGAGAAATTTCACGCCGGGAATGCCATTCGTCGATTTTCATTTACCTCCGTGACACCTGTACGATCTTCAATGGCGGGAAAGAGGTCGCCCTTTCGAGAAATTATCTAAAGCTATCAGCAAACTATTGGAAATTCTATTGATCTTCAAATTTCGAATTTAATCATGATATCTACTATAAAATGTAATATGTACAGAAAGGAAAGAAATTTATATAGTATCTCAGATTTATCTAAGATCGTTATTTACATGGAGATATTTAAAAAATATTTTACTTTACATTATATTTAAATTTATTTAAAATTGGATTACTTTATCATTAAATTGAAAAAAAAACTTCTATTTTTATTATCGTATTTTTTATTATCGCCAATTTTACCAGAAAAATTTAATTACATAAGTAAATAATGTATTTATAAAATAAATTCAACGTGCGCATTATAAATTTTTATAAGTTCACAATTTAATGAATCTTTTCTCATTTTGCATATTAAACTCTAAATATCCCCTCTACTTTCATTTGCTAAAAAAGTAGCTTGATATTTCAGAGATTGGGAATTAGACTGGAATGCGAAGAAAGATGCTGCCGGCGCCCATGTCGACCGTCTCTCTTGGGCTGGGCCAGAAATCAAAGGCTGGAACGTCCGTGATGGAAATCGCGAGTCGGTCATTGCGTAACCACCTCTATATCGCCGACTGACTCCGTTCGCGAAGCCGGTGATCTGTCCGCGCCGCGCCGCCGCCGCGGAGGCGAGAGGTACGCCGACCTTCTGCTATACGTGCAGATCGTCCGCGTCCCGCTCTCCTCTCGTCCCGTCCGTCCCGGAGAAACGAGAGGAAATCGCGCGTCGCGTTGTATCATCCAGTAATTTCCGTTCTCCAGTTTCCCGGGGAATTAATCGCGCCGCCGCGCCGGTTACACGCGGTGCGACACTCGTAACGCCAGCGAGTTGGAACGACACACGTCGAACTAGTTCAAGCCTTCGTCACTTTAACCTTCCGTCGTCTATCACGACCTCGAATGAGCATTGTCGCAAATTTACAAATTGTATGTACATTGTAGTTCATCGGTATAAACGTGCTGAAGTATAGCGCGAGATAAATCTACATTCAGGGTGAGACAGACGAAATGATTAATTAGCTTTAGAATTTTCGAAATTAATCATCTCTGAGTAAGATTGATTTTCTTCCGAGAAAGGACATCGATTATTATCGAAGTTACATCAACCATAAAGGCAATGGCTATCTTTTTATTTATCTGACACGATAAAAGAATTGTCATACAATGATTCATAATGATGTAATTCCTGAAACTGATACGTAAAAGAAATGGACATCTCTGATACGGTATCATCTTTATCGTACATTAAAATCTTTATGGACCCAAGCATTCACATAGAAATAATTTATTGCATAATTATGTCGATTCATCAATGATATAAAAAGATGTTGATATTATGTGTGTTAGAGATAATATCGCAGGTGCAACAAATTATGGAACTTTTATTTTAATTACCTTTATTCGACGAGAGCAGTTAATAAAACACATGTGTTGCACGCGTCCGGCATTTCGCCTGTTATCAGAGGCACAAACGTTTAGATTAATTCTTTCAACTACCTCTATGGCGTTATTAAAGACGGTTAACCCGCGCAACGATGTTATTTATCGCCTGATGTGATTTATTCTAATAGGACGACCATTTAGAAAGAAATTACATTTCGTGATGTTGAAGCACAAAATGCAGAACTATATAAAAATGCTTGACGTTAATTTTTTTCATCTTAAATAATAAATAACAATACATATCATTTTATTGCAATTGCACGTAATTAGCGATAAAATACGAAAATTTTAATAGGAATTGAATCGCGACAGGCTTATGAGACTTGGGTTCGGTCGTTCAGGAGAGTGAGAGATTAATCCTATTAACTCGCTCGTGCACTTTCAGGTCAAGATCATCCTGTCTGCCATATATAATTTTCTCGTTGCAGCTTTAAAGGTACTGTTGCTACGATTTCTATCTCGCTCCATAAAATTAAGACAGCAGTGGTCTCTCCTTAAATGAAAGAGGTTAAACTCGATATGCATCATTCGAGGAAATTTAACGTAAAAAATTCGGATTAAACGCCATGGTATCTATCTTGAACGTCTCGTCGTGAAGTCTGAAAGCTAACGTTTAAATTATCCGATACGTCAAGCGACGAGGGATATACCACATATGATAGTCGGACAAAGAAAGGAGATTAGAACGCGTGAGATTAAAATGTCTGTTGTTTTCGATATTTAATACGATCTTTTTATGAATCATCAACTATAGAGAACGTGCTCTCATCGCGAGATAAGCCTCGGGCGAGTACGCGTATTAGCGGAGCAACAAAAATAGTGTTATCTCGGAATGAGTCACGGGCGGTGCCGCGAAAAATTTCGCCCCGCAAGTTGCACTTGCAGACGCAGCACAAACATAAGCAGATATACCACATCCTATTGGTTATACGGTATATCGGCTGTACCGTTACGCATCGTGATACTTGTTTCGCGAAATATTTTGTTTTATGAAAGAACGCGAGACTTTGTTATCAAAGATACCTGCCTATGTACCTCTACGGTATAATCAATATGCAAATTGTTTTCAAGCTAATCTAAATCCAAGCGAAATTTACATATATTTCTCTTCAATTCTCGAGGATCATTTAAATTCAACGAAAATCATGTATCTTGCGTGTGAAATCGGCCACGATTCTCTGTTGCAACCTTTGTAAACCGAGATTAATGCATGCAACGACCCTGATTGGTACGGTATTGACAGACGTTCAAGCATCGGCGTCTGACCGACAAGGTGCCTACTGCACGACTGTGCGCGGTGTTTTCACCAGTCCGAGAGACACGAGACACGATTTTTGTCACGATTCCGTGCGCCTTCGTACCGTTATCCGGTTAACGTAGTCTCCGTTCGATACCTGCGTCGTACAACAGGTGAGAACGAAGACTGAACTCGTTTACACGCGTAGCCGACTTGCATATATTTATTAATACAATATTATTAGCGTGCTTGTAACTGTACGAGGACTTAAGCATCGAGATGATACGAACATTCTGTCGATTGCGTAACTGTAAAAAAAAAAACGCTTATATTCAAACTTCACAAATTTTATAAATTTTACAAATATCTAAAATCCCGTAAATATCACCGGTTTCTGTAAACCTTGATAATAAGCCTGAAATTTATTATAAAATTCCTTTCAACGACTTCGCTCCAGCGGAGGTAAATATCAGTACCCAATTGCGCCGCGACTCTAGAAACCTTTTTTTTTTCTCTCGAGACATTATCCTCGACAGTTCGTTCAATTATACTCGCTGCTTCCGGCGTTTTCTGTATAAATAGGAAAACTTTCTCTCGTGCAATAGGTAACGCGCCTAACGGGTACACGGAAGATTCCTCGTCGTGACTCGTTCGACTCTTACGTCGCCCATCCCGAGAGAATTTATACTTAAAATTCTGAGTCGGCTTTCCGGCGCGGCCGCGCGCGAATTTCTATTCTTGTGTGTACTCGATTTTCCAGGTGCTCGACACGACGAAGGCAGAGTTGTATGTGGGTACACGCTGTGTGTATTATTTTGCGCGATAAAAACAACATATGGGCCAGAATTTTCTTGGAAAAGACGTCCCGACTCTTTCGTTTTACATTAGAACTGTATATCCAATTACCTTGGTCTGAATACCTCGGAGATTTAATCTGCGTCTTAATACGACGATATGAGAAATAAAATATTATAAAGATAATGACGGCAACGAGAATTTTTTTTACTTTCTTTTAATTCTTTTATATATACACTACCGGTAGCTGAAAATAGATACCTACTCGCAATGATCGAGCATTGGAACGCGACCAATTACAGCTGTCTCGGTGCTGGTACACATTCGCGTGTCGGTAAACTTCACGTGTGTAAGTAATAATACTAATTAGTAGTGGTGATAATTAATACAGATGACATAAATAGATAGCGTTAGAAAAGAACTAGAATTCTGGACTTTGAAGTCAGAACTGCATTTCCGTATATCCTATATAAGTACGTGAAGTACGATTCTTCGAAGGTTTAGGCTTCCTTTTGCCAGCGAGTTCAACATTAATTTATCGGACAATGAAAGTAAATCTGCATTTACGCACCGGGATGCTTCGGGGGATGCTGTATTTTTAATAACGCTGGATCCAAATCCGAACGGACCCGGACGTGTCGTTTCCGAAATAGATGGTCCTCTCTCGGGTTTATTAATAGTCGAGCAGATGACGCGAATGTGCCGTTGCATCGCTATTATTGTGCCATCCTATGGCCCCGTTTCGCCACTTGCTGGTTCACATTGTGCTCCGGGAGAACCATTGTCGTAGAGACGGTGTCATGCGGGAAAAAAATACGAAGTACTTTTGCCGTGAGCGAAAATTATATAAATCGAACTTGTAATGCCGTAAGAGAAACGTCTAAATGTCTCTTCAAGTAGCATTTCTTTTTATATAAGGTTTATAAAAGTACTGTAATCTTCAATACAGATTAATATAATTATGTAAGTTAAAATATGATAAAATATTCTATTTAAAAAAAACCTTTTCTACTCTAACATATACTAAATAATATATATATCAAGATTGTTAATTATATAAGAATTCACGGCAAGCTTTTTAAATGTCATTAATATTTAACGCGATATAAAATCTGTAAAATATACTGTGATTTGTGATGTATGCAAAATGTGGCAAAAATCTAAAAGACGTGGGTCAATCCCACGATAGCGATCCGTTAACGAAAGTGATAAAGTTTTTCCAGGATCGCGATGAGCGAGCGGAGCGACGAAGCCTTTTTTTGGCGTTTCGCGGATGGTGTTCTCGGCCGCGCCGGAGCCGTGTGCGCGGAACCAGTCGCGGAGACCACCAGGAAGGAACGAGAGAAGTCGGAATGTTGGCGCGGAGTTCGGACATCAACCTCTCGGGCAGTCGGCCCGCCGTTCGCCACGAGCGGCCAATCCGGCGCCCATCGGCGAACGGTAATTCGTGCCCGTACATGCGTACGCGACCCACGGCTTGAACCCTTTCTCGCTCTTCAATGAGAGAGAAAGAGAGAAAAAGAGAGACGTATAGTATAATAGCTTGTACTTAAATACCTAAATACCATTCTTGTACTTAAATAAATAGGTATTTCTGCTGTGTCATAAATAGATATTGTGTGTATACGTTTTCATTACGAAGCTCATATCGAGACATTAAGTTTGAATTAATATTAATATTGGTATTAATATTAATTTATTATAATAAATACATATATAAATTATATTTATTATAAATTATTTGCTTTGATTGCCAGTTTTGCGAGGACATCTACAATATTTTCCGCTTCAAAAACTAAATTCCGAAAGTTAAATAAATTAACATAAATATGCGATTCCAATTTCGTAGTGTGTTCATGTTTTGTCCCTGAAATGCTCGTCTGAAACTTTTATGCTGCCACGAAGTGAAGTGCATAATGACAGGACGGAAATATGTGGTCAAGGGCTGCCAATTGAATACGCATTATGAAATAGTGAAATTGCAATCTCTGACGAACTATACCGGCATAATCTGTCACATCGTGTAAAGCCAAATAAATAAATAAATAAATTATATAATTATGAAAAAATTACTATAGATATTATAAAATTAGTATGAAACTTTCCTTTTATATTCTATAAAAGAAAAATTATTCCTACTTTGCTATTTATCTATAAATGGTAATGGCAACATTGTTTACATTGAGTTATCTCATTAATTCGCACATAATTGACATATAGGCAACAACACACGTGGGGATAGTGAGGTGAGGTTAATACTAAGATCAACGATTCGTTAAGAAGACTGCAATTTTGCATACAAAGTTACTATATACACGATATTGTGTGCAACATTGTGATAACAGGATGACGTTACAGTTTATTGCGTCGCCGTAAAATCGCTGTTAAAGTCACGCCTTAATAGTGGCGCATTACCACCGCTCTTTACTAATTATATTTTGCCCGGTATCTAAACCTGATATTGTAGGTCAAGGCGGGAGTTTTACGAGCACTTCGTGCACCGTTAGAAAAAGAAACGATGCGAAGAATATGACGTCTATGCAGGGCGGTTACAGCCAGTTGTAACCGGTGCATCGCGACATGCATGTTAGAATAACATCGCAATACGCGTATCATTCATTATATGGTTATTATGAAAGTCACATATTATATATCTATATATTCCCTTAAGAATAAACGAGATATATAATCGAGTATATGGCACAATTTCTTGCACGCTGACTTTTAATTAGATTAGCTCCACAGGGAACACACTTTAGGTTTCCATATTTATATTATCGTATACGGTTACATGTAGAAGATGGGATAACGCATATTATAAGAATATTGCAAATGGAAAAGCGGACTTCCCTTTAACAAAAAATAAATACCCTGCAAACACTCTTTCGCTTTTTAATATTACATATTTCAGTAATTAATGATCGAATTGCAATTCTGCTATTACGAAATTGCATGGCATAAAGTGATAAGATATTTAATTATGCCATGAAATTATCATATGTATAACATTGCACCTATATTTCTCTTTCTTCATGCTACAGATCGGAGTTAAAAGTATGCCATTGCAAGATCGATAAAGAGCTAAAAGAGCAAAGATACAGAGAGAAGAGAAAAAAGAAGGTAAGAGCGCGAAGTGAACGGACTTTATCCTCCTGGTATCCAGATCACGTGTTTTTTACATTTTACAAGAGTCGATTCATCTACCGAAACAAATGATAGGTACCTCGCTAAGTCAATCCTTTTTTTTGTTTTTTACATAAGCCCGTATTCATAGTCCATTCTTATTTCAAGACTGTTTTAATTATTTTAAGTAATATATTAAGATGCTAATATATGGCTCTGTGAATGATTCATAACATCTTAAGAGACGGTTTTCAATATAAGATTCGACTATGAGAATACCGCTCATAGATAGTGATCCATCGTTGCTAACTTTTGAATACATACAAATAAATGATTGAATCGAAACAATTGCCACTATAATGATGCAAACCACAATATTGGATGATTATCAAAGTTCTATAAGAAAGAATTTTCAGATACTTAATCGCCAAGGAATGTTATCTGTTTGCCAAATGTAGACTGGATGACACGCGATAGGTACGTAATGATAATGGTAAAACGCCAATAGATATTCAATCAAATTTCGTTACACCGTCGATACTCGTTATAACGGATTTTTGCTGTAATTCGTTATAACGGGATTTCTGGCAAGACATTTTGCGGGATCGGGCCGCTCTAAATTTATGGCACAGCAACAGTGTTTGCACATACCGAATCTCGGGTTGCAACGTTGTTGGCCGTGCACCAGTTAATATACGCACCTATGAAAGCTTAACAAAATCTACGAAGTAATTGAGGAGATTCCCAGAAAATATCGCAGGCTTCTAATTTATCGAGTATGATGCTCCACGAAGAGACGCTATCGTAAATTAGTTGTGATTTACAATTTTAAAGCAGAAGTTACCTCGTTTTTATACTAACACACTAACAAATACCCCAATAATTTTATATATTAATGATATATTTTTGAAAAATAGTGAGAAATTATATACACAAACACTTGCAAGACATCTTTGGAAATAAAGTTTCTAATGTTAAATTATCAGCTAAAGCCATCGCAATAATGCTTTAAAAGTACATATTACATTGTTATCAGTTGATAAATTTTTGTTTTACGCATACACATACATATACACACAAACATGTGTACAGTATAATATTTATCTTTGAAAGTTTGTAACGCTTAGTTGGCTATTGCTTGGCGTTGCCTAGTTTTTAAAGCGATGGCATTTATAAGAGTGTACAACAAGATATTAAGATACAGGCGCGCCGTTATCGTCCTTGCGAAGGAGCTGCATTCATACAGCCTCTCCTTTCTTTCTCACTTAGGCATCCCGCGGCTGGTTGAGCTAACGGAACCATTCGGATGTTTAGCCCGGCTCGAGCTGGTAACCGGCCGAAGCTGGTAGAGACGGAGAAAGAGAGACAGAGAGATACAAGGAATGCCGAAACAGCTGATCGATTACTCGGCCTCTCAAAAAGCAGATACGTTTAAATTTAATATCGTGCCGGTACTGTTATTCAGTCTGTCTCTCCAAATACCATGAATATCGACAACCGTATGCGGTTACGCGGAATGCGCCATAAAAACTGCATATTTGATGCTAAGACGATATTCTTTATAGAAGGATTTTATTGAAAAATTTTTTCTTCAACGACGTTTCAATGCTTCTAATCGATTAAATCAATCGCAAGTTAAATTTTGGAATTTTTAATTTAAGATTTATCCGTGTAAAATATTTTTGAAAAACTATAAATGTGTATACGTCAATCCTGAGATTCAGTACTTAGCTATTATGTCACAGGTTAACTAACTCAGTTGAAAGATTTCATAGCTCACTGCCGTTTACATATAATTATGGCAAGCGAGTCCTCGGAATCTGACTTATTGTTAGACAATAAGAATGGGTGGCACTCGTTAAAGCGGCGGTTGTTGTAAGGGAGACTGGCACGTGTAGAAATTACAAATTGCGCAGGTAGGTAATAATGTAAACGACCTTACATTATTAGATATACGCTCGTTCTATTGACAGTTTAAGTGTTTTATTTCTATCTCTGTAATAACCGAATCCCGTTGAACACCGTTGAGCGCCGCGCCGTTGAGTGTGTGTAAGTTTATTAATCTACTTAATTCCTTAATTTTTTGCAATAAATAAAACAATATACAGAATGTTCCATGAATTTCGTCCAGAAATCTTTATCTACAGATTCTAATTAATTTTGACTTGATTCTTATCGAAGAGTACAGTGTCAATTTTAGAAAGAACTTGCCTCTATAATTTCTTAACATTTTTAATGTAAAAAGACAGTTTTTAAACTTTTCTGCCCACTGTAAAAATATATAATAAAAAATAGAGTTGACGTTGCTTTACTAAGGAATTTATTATGTCAATTACTTATGGAATAGACACAACGTAGTAGATTAAACAAATTGTGTTATAACATCTTTATATTAGAAATTCCCTTCAAAATTAATAAAAATAAACTCCAGAATTTGTTTATCCTCCTTTGATAGACAGATCTGCGTATTTGCAGCTCACGTTACACACTCTATACAGTCTACACTATACATTAGCATACGGTGCCACCAACGCACTGTATGCTAATTGGGCAAGTAATAGATGATCACCGTATTAGGCACGACGAAGTCGCGGGATGATGCTTATGAAATCATCATGCATACAACTGGTACTTATTTGGTTCCCGAATTGTGGCAAAGCGTTCGGTCCCTTTAAGGTTCTCTTACGCTCAATCTAACGACGAATGTGAATGCGCTATGGAAATTTGTAATTACACGTGTCTATGTAACGATGACACGCGTCTATGTAACGTTTATTAACCTTTAGAGCGCCGGCATTTGACGAGCTTTAATTCTCTTAGAAAGTCCTCAAATTGTTGTGCTTATATCTTATATATAACATATACAAAGTTCCGATCATACGTAGAGCCTATATTTAGGTTTTCCGGCGGTCTAAAGGTTAATCGCTTTACAATTATAGTCGTCTTATTTAACAATCATCAGTCACTGATGAAAATAAATGCAAATGCTAAGAATATTGTTATACTGCAATTTTAAAATATTAAATATAAAGACATAAATATAACTAGTATATGGTTAATAATTTAATTTCTGATTTATTCCGAACTGAGTAAAAATATTATTTCTTATGACTTTATTCGAGTTGCTAGGAATATATTGTTGCACACTTTGTTATGCTTATGAGTGACGCAATTAATTGCAAGTGTGATGCAACATCGTCGTTTTAATAATCGCATAAACAATTGAGGATTAGCGTTCTATTTCAAACTAACTGCTTCTTAAAGCACAGCAAATTAATGCAATATCAAGGCCTATTTGTCATTCGTATATGGGCATCAATGTATGTACTTATAATTAAAGCATTATTGCGATAAGTTCGTGTGGTTTGGCTCGGAAGCTTTGTTCCCAAAGATGATCTGTCATTTGCAAAATCTTGAACAGAATTTTCCATGTATTTGAAACATAACATTAAAACCCTTATAGTGTTATACTTGGTGACTGGATTTCGTG